AGTTTTAATATATATTTAATTTAGTTTATTTAAAATTTTAATATATTAAATAATCTTTTAGATATATATAGTATTCTAATCACTAGTATTGGTCTCAGTTATTGCAGAAAATATCTAAAGTCTAATCTAAAAATGTGTAAGATATAAAATAACTTAAAGGTATATACTACACCTCTTTTAAGATAATTTGATAGTATAAAAACTTTATAAGGTTATTTATAGAGATAGTGTATAAATAGTATAGTATATATTGATCTGAATGATCTTTAATCAAAGCAGTATGAGGTTATATGCTAATGTAATTATAATGATAATACAGGACAAAGATACTGTATCAAAGAGTTTAAATAGATAATCTCTTAGTTATAAATATAGTATCTAATATAAAACCTTCAGGCAAACTACTTAAATAAGCAACTAAAAGTTGTATATATAGTTAAATATACTTTTATTAACTAAGAATATACAGTATTACTAAATATCTAATAAAAATTGCCTTTATGTAATATTGCAAAGGTTAAAAAAAAAATAATAAAATAAAATAGTATCGGAAATAATGCTAAAACAAGATGATGCTGAAACATGAAGTCTCAATTTAGAAATATAAACTCTACTAAAATCTACTTATACTTTTTTATTATAAACACTAGCCCTAAACTTTAACTTAACTACAAAAAAAAAATTAAATAAACATTTCCAAAAATTTTAAAATTTTATATTAAAATAAGGCAATGTTTTAGTATTATCTTGTTTCAGCATCATCCCCAACAAATAGTATTAATAAATATATCAAATTATACTTTTTAAATTTAAAGTTAATAAGAGACTTGGAATAAAATCTAATAAGGAAGAACTTAAAGTATTTTTATAATCAACTAATGTATACTATAGAAAAATAAATTACTAATTAACAATTTATTATTACTGTTTTTGAAATATTTGAAAATAACTAACAAAAATTTTTTTTTGTAAATATTGTAAATACTTGAATACTCTAAAAAATAACAATTACTGTATTATATATACAATTTGAAATTAATTTTTAATCAATATAATTTCTATACCAATGTAGTTAAGTTGAGTATTTGAGTATTTACAATATTTACAAAAAAATTTTGCTAATTATTTTTGACTATTTTGAAAATAGTGATAAATTGTTTTTTTAAATTGGTTATTTTGCTAATAAACCTTTATTAAAATTATTTTGTTACAGGTATGACAAAATATTGAGCTTAATATTTAGATTAGATATTTTGCAGTTACTTCTAAGAGTACTTACAAACAACTAGCTACACTAGACAGATCTATCTATAAGAGATGCATTCCAATAAGTTTATACAAATCCATTTATCTCAAAAAGCTTTATTAGACCACCACTTTACAATAGAATACTGCTAATCTGATGATATCTTCTTATAAGTGAAAAAACAAAAAAAAACTAATACTAATATTAAAAAAAAAAAGAAGAGTAATGAAAAAAGAAATGAAATCTAACAAGTTACAATTATAAGCCTGTGTTAGACCTTAAAAATTATATATTACAAGATAAAGAAGCTCTGTATTAACTCTATCTTAATAATTTATGTATCTATCTAAAAAAATATCAAATAATTAAAAAAACTAAAACTAAACTAGACTAAGCTACTATCGCTATATATAATACAAATTAAGAAGCTTTATAATCTAACAATTCGACTGATTTGAGATTCTAACCTTTATTTAAATCCCCTATTTATATCTATTCTAACCCATAGATGCAGACTTATGACATCACCTAGCCACGTCCGATATAAAACATCGGTTTATATATAAAATAAGCGGTAACTACTGAACTAGTGACGTAAATAAGTCTGCAGCATGCTGGGCACAGCAAATCCAGCGTTACCAACAATCGAGGGCGCAGTCTTATGACCGGAAAAAATTTTAAGTTCGTTTACTTTAGGGTTAGGGCGATGCCTGGGATTTTAGTAAGGTATATTATATACATGCAAAATTTAGCAAGGAATTTTTTTTGTTAGAGCATAAAAGGCGGTTTCTTATGCGATTTTTTCAAAATGAACATTTGTTTTGAATTTTTCTGATCGTGTAAAATCGATCCTACGCCCTGGCGTAGTCCATGGGCAAACACATATACAGTAGGAATCCGCCAGGGCACAATTAAAAAACAGTTTTAAATTATTGAAATTTTAGCATAACCATGCTCTAACCTTAAACCCTAATTTTAATCTAACTTCAACCAAATAAATTTTTTTCTAAATATACAGACTTTCAAGTTATTACTAGTCTATGTAAATACTAGTGTATCTTTTAGAAATTTTCTTTTAAAAAAATTAATTTTAACCCCCAAGATATTGTATGTAATTAATATCATTTACATTAATATTAGGGGGTTTCAGAATTAACAAATAACTGACTCATTTCGAAAATAAGTAGGATTTTTTTAATAGAATTTTTACTATGTTGAATTATAAATCGGAAAAATAAAATAAGATTCTCTGATTTTAATTTGAAACCCCCTATTAATTCAAATGATATAACAAATTTATTATAAACTCCGGTATAAAAAAATAGCTTGATTCTGTAAAGCTAAATATTTATAGTATAATTAAATTAGACATTTACACTGGGCACAATGAATTTATATCATCGTTTGGCACTTAGGGATTTTCTAGTCCGTATTTTACCTGTTAATGATATCTAGAAAAAATATTCATTGTAATGACAGGTTCGATTTATTATATCGAGGTTGTCGATCATTCTATCGAGATCACGGAATTCCGTTTCCGCTGATACCCGACGGATCACGATATTTTTATTACAATATACTCAAAGTTTTATTAATATACTTCGAGACTTATAGACTTCCGCTTTTTAGTACGTACTCTTTTACTTATAATAAACTTATATATTCTTTATTGTGATTACTAGAATTAAACCAACAATCAAGTATTTAAATTTTGATCAAACAAAATTTAAATTGATCTAATCAAGAATACATAAAATTGCAAAAATTGTTCAAAATAAAAATATGAAAATATTTAGAATAACTTCTATGAACACTTGAAAACTTAGTTCAATTACTTGTAAAACTATTAACAAATACATGATTATCCATCTTTAGAATAATAAATTTATAAAAATGCACTGCATATTCTTATATATATAATATATATTAATAAATAATATCCTACAAAAATACCTTAATAACACCATCTCTATCTCCACTAATTAACATTGGGTGTGGAATTTCTGTAATTGCTAAATCAGTTATGCAATCTAAATGATTTTTAAGTAGCAATTGTTGATAAGAAATTAATTGATTTTTTCCATTGTTGTATTGTTTATTATTTGCAGACGGTCGTTTAATGCCACTATGGCTTGAACTATTATGCCCATTTGAGTGTGTTGAATTTTGTAAAGACGATGTAGTGGACGATGACTGGGATGCTACACTGTTTGTATTACGATACAGAAGTTCATAGTGGACTTTTATTCCATCAAATGGTCTCGTGCTGCACAAATAAAAAAATTTCATAAATGTCCGAAAACAATAATTATGATGTACGAATAAATGGAAAACTTACTTATAAGTAGGTCTAGTATCGTCAGGATCTGATCCAACAATCACATACGAATCTTCAATTCGGTTGTTATCCCAAAACCTAACTTTGCGGTCTGATCCAGCTGTTATCATATAATTACACTCATGCGGGTAAAGAACTGCTCGAATAGAATTATCTGCAGAAAAACTGCTTTCATGAGCAGTAAAAGCACTTCGCAATATATCATTTGGACCTGGAGGTTCAACGGCCTATGAATAAAATGTGTATAATGCTTTAGAAGTTATTTCTCAACTAAGTGCATTGGACTACGTCCAATAACTTTGAAAGATTGGACATATAAAATTTTAAATGTCCAATCATTTCAAAATTATTGAACATATGTCCAAAGCCAACACTGTCTCACCGTATTTAAAATTTCAAATAATAGGAAATTTTTACCTTAAACATATCCAAAGATATACCACCAATCTTCTCGTCACCAGTTCTCACACCAAAAACTTCTTTACATTCAACCTTCTCTATATCCCAAACTGAAACTTCATTTTTTCCAGCAGCAACAATTACCCACCACTTCTGATTTCCAATTTGAGGATGTAAGAGAAGCTTACTAATTCGACTTTTAGTAGGGTGAACCCATGATCGGATTTGAATTCTAAAACGTAAATCCCATAGTGTAAATATTCCTCGAGATGTACCAATAAGAAGCCACCTGTGTTTTTTATCAGATACCATTGCTGTAATGACACCATGGCTTTTAGGATTTTCAAATTTCCACACTATTTGCATTGTTCTTAAATCTAATCCACATATGCTTCCCTTAGATGTTACATAAAGTAAAATGGACTCTGTACCTGTCAATTATTAAGTACATTAATATATTGTACAATTAAGATTTTACATGTAATAGTATGATAATGTAATACTAACCAGTATCATAATGCTCCATTGCCACAGCATATTCTCCATTCAAGCACGTTTCTCTCACAATTTGTGGTTTTCCGTACTTTGGTGCAGGGACTGCAGGAGAATAATCAATTCTAAATATATGGATACTTCCATTATCTGATGCAGTTGCAATACAATGTGTGCTATCAATAAATGTCATGCATTTGATCTTGCCGCCTATAATAAAATAAAATGTCAAGCCAATTATTATTATAAAACTTCGAATATAAATGAATAACATACCTTGTTGATTATATGTGACTCTTGAGCGGTTATTAAAGTTTTTAACAAATCTAGTGCAATCCCATATTCTAACAGTTCCATCATCCGAGCATGATGCAAAGAAATTGTGATCAGGAGATACACATATTTGATTAATAGATAATTTGTGTTCTGTAATGTGAGCCACCAATGTACCTAAATGTTTTTATATCATAATTATTTAAAATATGATTTGAAGGTCTTCCAAATGATGGCTGTTCTAGGTAAAATGTCAGTCTGAGAATTTGAGAATTCACCGATTAACATTATTTAATAATTAGGGTATTAATTATTTTTTAATGATCAATCGGAGGATTCTCAACTTCCCAGATTGGTATTTTTCCTAGACCAGTCCTCAAATAGCAAACTATTTATTTAGGCAAACCTTCGGGCCTCCAATTAGTAATAGTTCTCAGGACGGGTGTTCCTTTTGCGGCCTTTCCGGGACGTGGAACCAATGGTTTGGTTACTTTCGGTCCAAACTCTATTATAATTCATTCAACATGTAAATTTGGAAAATATTTAGTAAAAATAAATTTCATAATTTAATAATTGCAAACCTGGCATAGGTTCAGGAAATGATTCAAGGTATAGGTTATCCAACAAAATTTTGACATTTCGATCATTGCCCTCTATTGATTAAATTTAGGTCATTTTTCAGATTTATTAAAAAAAAAAAATAAAAAAAAAATAAAAACATGAATGCAGTAAAAATATTACCATATGTGCTGGAAACAAATGCGCCAAGATTTTTTCTCGTTGGAATTTCTTCTATCTGTGGACCAACATTTCCATTGAGACCATTTATGGTTATATCTGGCTTGGAAACTGCGGGAATAGGCATCTCCATGGTTCCAATAACAGTTGTCGTATTGGTACTGGTTGCAGGTGCCGCCTTCGGACTTTCAACCGGTCTTTTGGCTAAAGAAATGTGCCTTTCACGTACTGGTGTCGAAAAAGACGGAGTTAAGGAATCTTGATGGTTCGTGTTAGATGCGTTTATTGTAATAGGAGCTGGCACATTCTTTCGATGAATTGTAGAAGATAAAGTACTGGTAACAAGTTCAGGTTGATGTGATGACGATACAGGTTTAGTTGGAACTTTTCCTTCCGAATTCATTCTCGCTTCCCGAAGACTAGTAGGAATCAAGCGGGCTTGATCTTCGGCTTTGAGAAGCTGGAGGTTACTATCACTAGAAACTCGTGAAACTGATGGTTCTACCAATGACGCTTTGCTACTTTTTGCACTTGATATCCGATAAGGACTAGATCATAATATATTATGTACATCAGATCAATAACAAACTTGAACACACGCTATTTAAAATTACCTTGGTGTTCCGACAACATTCTAAATAGACAATATGTATTAAAAAAACTATATGATGCAATGAAATAAACTCTAAGCAATATTAATTTTTAAACATACTGTTTTATCAGGCAGAAGAGGATTGTTTCTTATAGTGTGCCCATCGGAATTAATTGGCATGACAAAAACATTATGGGGGGTTATGCCCAAGTTTTTCAATACGATGGATCCGTCCTAATTAAAAATATTTAAATTAAATTAAAAGTATAATTAAGTTAAAAATATTTATTTTACTCTACCTCCATCTTAAGACTCTCATCCAATCTTGGGCGAGTACTTGAGTACAATTTAATGATATAAATTAATGACATTGATTCAAATCCGGTTTATTAAAAACATGTATGGACTTACTTCATTTTAGAAACAGATAATTTATATATATAATCTCTCATTGCAATTATTTTTTCTTCGTCTTCGTATGACATGCCAATGTTCCTCATTGTTTCCAAGTTCTGTTCATCCCTATATTATCGAAAAGTTTTTTTTTTTTAATATAATAACTTAGTGTCAAATAATCTGGATGAAATTTTCACATAATTATTATAACATACTCCTCCGATTTGAGAATTTTCCCGGCATTAATTGTGAGTGTAGATGTCCGTCGCGACAATAAGCTAGTGACGCTAGAGTTGCCCGAAACTGTTGTTGAAGCTGATTTATTTGCTTTGCGTTCTTTAGCTTGTTTCCAAAATGAAGATTTATTTGATTTTCCAGCCCAAGAGACAGCTTTGTCAAACACGGGACGTGGGATCTAGTAATTTAAATGTTAAATACTGGACATTATAAAATATATAAATTTAAAATAAACATTTAGTAAACTATACCGGTTCTTTAACATTCTCTAATATATGAAGTTCTGTAACTTCAGCAATGTCAGCCTGCAAAAATGGTCTTATTATCGGATATGCGATACACCAAACATCAGTTGTTGGCAAAAGTCTTGCAGCCGACGCAATAAAAGCAATGGTTCCTAAAATAGGAAGATAAATAACAATTCTATATTGATATTATGCAATCCGAAACTAAAACTACAAGATAATCATATTTACCATAACGAATGTAAATGCCAGGATGGCACATTAGTGGCGATACAATGGCAATTAATTCCCACAACTTCATTTTTTGAAATAATCCTAATTCTGCTAAGCTTGTGAGTGAATTAAGAACTTTTTCTACAACAAATTCTTCCGCATCTGGTTTTCGATAATTTCAAAAGTTTAGTTAGTATTATTATTAAATATAGATATCAAGAATATTAACTGTATAGATAACCCATGAATGCCAACAGTAATAATGTAATATTTTACCAGAGAGAGATTGAATCATCAAAGGTAGAATATATTCTTCCAAACTTTGACGTCCAACAAAAGTACCGACACCGATTATGCTTTCAAAAAACGCACTGCATATAAATGTATATTTATCGATATATTCTACTTAGTATATTGATGCATATATTCCAAATATATATATTTATATTTATACGAACCTTCTTAACATCCAATCACGATCATTCAAGTATGTTATCATATGGCTCAGTAACACATCATTGGCTTTTTGTCGACCAAAGAAAATACAAAGGCTAGTAATATTTGACAGTAAAGCACGTTTAACCGCACTTTCTGTGTCAATTAAAAGAGTGGTCACTTGCTCTTGTATAATTGATTGAAGGTCATGTAAAGTAGCATCATAAGTCGCCTTAAAGGAAATCGTATTAGCAATCTCAAATCATTAAAAGTTACAGTTTCAAAAAAATTTTGTACCTCATATGATCCTTCAATCTCAGCATCATTATCAGCAACATTTAAATAGTCTTCTGCCTTAAATTGCTGATCATTATAAAAATGGAATTATTTCAATGCTTTTGCTATTCATAGAAAATGGATAAAGATTACAAATACTTGCTTGTGTCAATTCAAGAAATCGTAATGCTGTCTCTGCAAAAGTTGAAATACATTGGGCGTATGTCATCCTTACAAGGATTTCAGGATCAGTAGCAAATTTGCGAAGATTAGGCATTATATACTCTGGGAAAATAGTTGCGTTTGAAGGAGTAATAGTCTCAACCACAGAAAGCTATAGAAGTTTGAAATAATAAAAATCTGTAATTTGCACAAATTGAAGAATTTAAAATTTCACAAACCAAGTGTGCCAACGTCTTGACAGCATTAGCTCTAACAAGACCAATTTCATCACCTAAAAGTGCGATTAAATAAGGGACTAAACGATCCAATTTAAATTCATCTTCCAAATGCTGCCCAATTGCAAGCAACATATCCAACGCATGAAGTTTTGATGAAGGATATACAGCATTACGGATGGTAGCGCATATTAAAGATAGGAATATTAATGCACCATCATCTTCACATAAGATGATTGTTAGTCTATCATTTTTTAATTTATGTCAAGAAACATTTGCTAATAAAATATGTACCTGCATCTTTCCTTCGCTTTTTATTTTTAAATGAAAAATAATCATAATTCGGTATATGAAGATTAACTGTTAACGCTGGCTAACATTTTAACATATATATTTCTTATTAGTTTCACAAATCGATCAGAACCAATTTATACTACTAACAGAAATCGATACATACTGTCGCATTTGGTGATGATACTTTAATAAAAAAGACAGAAAACAATAGACTTTATTTAGAATGAATATCATTGACAAGAGCTGTAAACAAACTTAGTAAAGCGCACCTTCTATAGGACGGGAACTTTCACCAACTTTATCTGAATGGCTATTATTAACAACCATCTCAGTATCTTGCACATTCTCATTGTAAAATCCAAGGAAAAACGCTATTTTATCAAATTCATAGTAAATTCTTTCTATTTTATCATCTGCGTCCGTATTTAGAACAGTACCCGTTGTAATATTGGAGTCTTGAGGTTCAGCAGCTTTACTGGTGCCATTAGTAGCCAATGTTCTTGGGTGAGCCTGGTTATGAGGGTCGGTCACCGAGCCAATATATTGATGAAGGAATGTATAAAAGTATTGTGGAAATGCTGTGCCACGCCTTAACATGAATAAATATCTACATTAAGGAAAATAAATTCAATCATAGTCACGGTCAGATAAAATAAATTAATAAATTAAATACCATTCTTGTAAGTACTGCTCTGCAGTATATCGTTGCGAAGGTTCTACATGAATCATGTGCCTCACCATAGCCTAAAAACGATATTATAATTAAACTTCATATTTAACATGTGCGAAAAATATCTTTTGTCATAAACTTTCATAAAATTTGGTGTACCCTTATTTCTGCATCCTCAATTTTTTCCAGATAAACTCCTGGATCATATTCTCCAGCTCTGTATTCGAATAGTTGAGCTAAAGAAAATATCGGTGTGCCCTCTAAGAAAAGTTCAGCAATCACACAGCTGAATGTCAATTGTGTATTCAAGGCAAATCATAGGAAAAAATTAGCACATAAATTTGAAACGCAAAGAAATAAAAAAAAAATAAAAGAATGACATGGCGCACCCTAAAGAAAATATATCCATAGCAGGCGTAATTGCACCGTCTTTTTCTCCAAATTCAAGTTCACTCTGCGAATAAGGATATATTAAAATTAAATTTTGTATTGGCTAATTATTGAATTGAAAACTGTACATAAAAGACATAAAACCTTTCTTCTGTCAATTTCACTACCGGGTTTATAAAATCTTTCCGGAGCAAGATAACAAGTTCTTCGTGAAGATGTATCAAAAAAGAATGAAAAATCGGCAGGATTATCCTGAATTAATTTGAATTAAAATAATAAGAATAATAATAATGAGAGTCATTCGACAAATTTATCAATAAAGATCAATATTTATAGCATACCTCTGGAAGATATGTCGGTTTATATCCTGCGAAATCAGCCAAATATACCCAGTTCCATGATGTGACAAGAATATTTTCTGTTTTGATATCTCCATGGTAAATCTGTAAATACAAATTATAAATAAATTGATTTGTAAAGCAACGAACATCTCAATGATATAAGAACAAACCCCTCGAGTATGAGCATCATGTACTCCGCACAAAATTTGATACGTAATCCATTTTTTTTCGATGCAATTCAAAAATGGCCGTGTACTAAAAAAAAAAAAAAAGAATATTATAAACATATTTATGAACGAATTGTATGTCAATCTATAATGTTAAAAAAGATCTAACCTGATACGGTCATAGAGACTGCTAAAAAAATACTGTCTTATTAAATATCCAGCCTTTTCTGTTTCAATTATTCTTTGGTATGGAAAAGCATTAGGAACTTCAGACAGTGCATCTTTTTCATCTAAACAAAATAAAAAAGAGATCTCATAAATATAGATCTTATGGATTTTACTCCGGATTTCCAAGATAAATTTACCTTACCTTGAAGCGATTTAACCACATTCACCAAAGATAGACCAGGCTCTGGCTTTATAAAAATTTTTATAACAACAAGTCCTTCTTTATGGCGCCCACATATTGTTTTCATAAAGCGTGCGCTACTTAAGCTGTAGGAAAAAAAAAAAGAGGAGTAAAAAAATTTGTAATGTTCAGTGGAGTTTAACAAAAATTATTAATTAAGATACATAGCCTTACCTTCTTTCATATTCTATATCTCCAAGTTCACTAACATAACTATCAATGCCAGCAGTTGCTATCGAAGCAGTTGTACTTGATATATTATTACCCATAGTCCAACGAGGATAACTAACCACTGGGAACTATGGTGAAGACGATTAACGATTAAAACTTCACGTGCTCTTCCCATTCCCCATTTCATATACTAATAAAAATCATGTGATAACGAAAGTACGCCACTTGTGTACAAACTGAAATCTTTATAAAACGATTGGCATAGTTTAAAAATTTTTAATAAATCGGGCACTTTAAAATCTTGCATTAATAGGAGCCTACGTATTATTCAATTTTTTTCAGCAATTTTCGTATCTAGAGATGCGGGTGGGTGGCGGATAACATATAATTGAAGTTAAAATTGGGGTTATCAACTGGATCTAATGATTCTTATACCATTCGATCCGTCTAAACCTGATTGATTGTCTACATATGTTAATGTTAAATTTCTTAGCCAATCCAATTGATACAAAAAAATCGTAATTCTTTATTATTTTAACATGTGACAATTAGTTGCCAACTAATCGTTGCTTAAAATTCAATTCTCAAAGAACATTCAATTTTTTTTTAATGGATAGGATTTAGGCTTTTGTACTACTGGTAGTACATTTTAAAAAATTCATAGCACAATCAAAAATAAATA